AATTCCCCACATAATTTTAAAGATTTTTGCACTTTGCAACCTTCAGATCCCTCCAGCGACCGCTTCCTTCAGGAAAGAGGTATTAGATTTCCAGGTTAGCTTTTGGTATTGGCAAGGGAGGGCAGGGGGCTGAGCGAACCATCCTTTTTCCCCGTGGTTGCCTTTTGGTTTGTGCCCAAGGAATCTCTGGATCCTCTCAGCGTGTGAAATGGTTAAATTCAAGATCAAGAAAGAAAAAAAAAAACAAAAAAAGAAAACAAAAAAAAAGAAACAGAAGACCAGAACAGAGCAGCCTCTGCCAATGGGGGGAAGGTGATCTCTACTTTCCTTCCTTCTTCTCTCCCGAGTCCCCGTGCTGCAGCCGGACCCTGCCAGTGAGCATGGCCAGGGCCGGGGCTCACCCAAACCGTTCCCGCACCAGCAGCATCAGTTTTTTCTTGCCTTTATAGATTTGTTTGAGATTGTCAATGAACTGGGCAAACTGTATGTGCCCGTCCTGTGCCAGGAGGAAGGTCTCCCTGGCCTTGCTGAGGAACTCGATGAACTCCCCGTAGTGCCGCGGGCTGATGTGGGTGAGCCGGGAGTGGGTGGTGTTGATGTAGGCGCTTATCGTCGCGTCCAGCAGCTGCCGCAGGGGGGCTTTGTCGGTGGACATCAGCTTCCCCGAGTTCCTGCGGCCGGGGATGCCGGCCAGCCCTGGGGCCGTCATGGTGCAGCGGCGAAGGATGTCCGAGAGCACCGTGGCACAGTGCACGCTCTTCACCACCAGTGGGATGATGGCCGCCAGCTCATTTTTGCCCAGAGAGTGGCTCAAGGCGCAGGCCCAGAGCACGTCATTGATCGCTGGGTGCGTGTCCTGGTTGTAGGCCAGGTTGAGATGTGTCATGGCCAACGAGGCCAGTTTGAATGCCCGGAGCGGGTAGCCCCGGTGCTCCATGTAGCGAGCGATGGTGAAGAGCTGGGTGTAGGTCATGCCAGTGGAGGCGGCATCGATGACGATCTGGTAGGCGGTCTCGAAGGCGATGTGGTCCTTCTCGCAGAGGGTCAGGGCAGACAGGGCGCAGTTCTGTGGGTCCTTCATGGCACACTGCAGGGCCAGGGTGCGGGCGCAGCTAGCCAGCTCTTCCCGCTGAGGGTAGTCCAGGCTCAGACGCAGGATGGTATTGTGGGACATCACCGTGGCCGCCACAATGCTGGTGGCTTCCGTGGGAGTGAACAGCGAGTACCAGCTCTGCAGGATGCTCACCAGGGCCCTCACCCCTGCAAGAAGACACCAGGGTTATGGCACAGCCCTGAAGCCCGGCTTGGATCACAGGGCTCCTTGGAATCCCTAGAGCGAGGGCAAAGCCAACCCGCGGCAGCGCTGAGCTGCTGCCGCTGCCCCAGCAGGGACCGGGCAGAGGGGGGACCGGCAGAGGCCACCCTGTGCTGACGGGGCACAGCAAACACCTATCCCAGTCCCAAACCTGGCCACTGCTGTGGCCCCAGCCGGGCCAGCTGGTGCCCTGAGGTGCATCCAGTTACCCAGAAGAAACAGGAGACCCAGGAGAGCTCAGATGCCCAGAGCTATGAATGACCTTAGGATCTCTGTGCCCACCCTGCTCCCACCACACGCGGGCGGGATCCCCCCGGCGCAGCAAGGCACTCACCCACTTCGGTAGCACACGTCACCAGCCACCTCACCATCTCCCGCCGCCGCCAGTTGAGGGTGGACAGGGTCATGCGCATCACCTGCGAGGCAAAGTTGGGGTGACCGGGTGCCCCACAGGGCTCCCACAAGGCCACAGGGCTCCAACAAGGCCACTCAACACAGGGGAGCTCCCCAAAAATCCCTCTGGCCCAGGTTGCTACTGGCTCCCCGGCACTGCCTTGCCTCCACCCAAACCGCAGCGGGCACAGGAGCCTCCCAGGGCTGAGCTCCCCTGCTCAGGGCCACGCAGGGATGAATTTACTCCTTCCACAGCAGACAGCCGGCTTGGTGGAAAACCATCACCAATGCCACTGCTGCAGCGCATCAGGCAGAAGGGCCACGGCATCCCCAGCGCCATCCCGTACCTGGAGCCCCAGCTCCAGCGCTACATTGAGCAGCGATTGCTGTCAGCTGGCGTGGCAATCTTGAACGCGTCCTGGGCCAGCTTGAAGATCAAGGAGGAGGAGTGGATGTTCTTCTGGATGGCCTCCAGCACCGTGCGTAGGCGCAGCATGTCCCCTGGACGCAGGCAAGAATGGTCAGATGGCTCGGCCTCCCCCCACCTTGCCCTCCAGCCCCATCTCTTGCCCGCACCGGGTGGTCCTGGATGTCGCAGGTCAGACATGCGGCTCTCACAACTGAGACAGGCTGAGATACCCCCAAAGAAGGAGGTTCCTGGCACAACACCCAGCGATGCTGTAGGTCTCCTGCTACAAGGAGGCCACGGGTGCAAGAAGGATGTGTGATGGCATTGGGAGATGGGGCATCTTGGAGCAGGGACCCATCAAGGCATATTAATATCACGATCCTGCATCTGGCTTGGGAAATCCTCCTGTCAGCCCCTGTGGGACACAGGGTGGGGAGAGGGACCTTTGGCGTGGGTGCAGACCAGAGATGCCAGCGTGCCAGATCAGGTCCCTTCGCTTTGTTCCAAGTTCATGTTTATACTCCCATAGTTGTAAAATGAGCAGATGAACCTCAAGCAAAGAAAACCAAATAATGCACAGCAGTGTGAAAAACCTGGCACCACACCTGGGCACACAGAGACATCTCGGGTGACTAACAGCTAAAGATATCGCCTGCCGCCCACAGCAGCCGCTCATACTGCCACCAAAATCCAAGCGTCCCTAGAACAGCTCGTGGAGGCGTGGGCGAGAGAGGCTGCGAGGACACAGGATCGCATCAGGACGTGCTGTGGTGGGGGAACACCTGGGGAAGGGGACGGTGGGAAAAACAGATGCAATCCAACAGCCTACACCACCGGCTTCAAAACCTCGTCCCCATTAGGCACTGGAAGGGAGAATAACTTAAAGGACAGGCCAGGTACGACCTCTCCATCAGGGCACTGTAAGGCAGGGGCAGGACACCATCAGCCCTGGAAAAGCATCCAAGAGGAGGAGGGCTGGAAGGGGAGAAGAGGCTGCTGAGGCAGCGAGGCTGGAGGTTTCTGACAGCTCATTTACCTCCCACCTCGCCAGGGAAGGGCACCTTCCCCGTCAGGCCGGCAGTACTGGGGGCTGGAGGCTGCCGCAGGCTGTGCGGGACAGCAGCGGGCAGTGGTAACCGCTCGGCATGCCAACCCTCATGGGGCACAAGGCACTCGCCATCCTGGTGGGGTTGGTTTCTGGACAGAGGGATGTTTAATGAAAAGCCTGTGCTCTCCATCATTGTGCCTGCGCAGGAACCAAAGAGGACCAATGCACCAGCAAGGAGGTGCTTTACGAGCGCTCCATGGCTGGGGCCAAGGTGTCCCACCCAACACAGCTGTCCCCATCTCCAGCCCTGCTGAAAGCCACACGTGGTTTGGTGCACGGGGAGGTCTTCTCCCTCCTATAGCCTGTGCAAGATCATTACCCCAGGGCAGGAAGAGACAAAGCAGAGGTAAAAGGATAAGCAGCTTCAAACTAAACCATGGCATGAACCCATCACACATCTGGTGGGGCTAGCTGACCTGGCAGCTGACCATGCTGCAGGGTGTCCAGCATCACCCAGGGGCACTACCCAGGATCTGCAGCGCTGTGGTTGGCACCCCTGCAGGGTTGCCTGCACCTCCTGGGAACCTCCTGTCCCACCCTGCCGGACCACAAGCCTTGGGGCCCTTTGGGACAAGAGCCCCAGAGATCCTGGGCTCCAGTGGGCTGCTCCGAGGTCAGGTCCCCATGCCCCCAGTAGGGCACCCAGCTGGTCTCTGCCAGTGCTCGAGGGAGCAGGAGCTTCCCCCTTTTCTCCAAGAAAATCCCTTTAATGCTCTTGTGCAGCATCGTCCCATCACCCCTGTCCCAGAGCTGCCCCCACACCAACCTTTGGCTGCCGTGAGCATGGTGGAGGCCAGCTCACACTGCTGCGACTCCAGGTGCCCCAGGGTGAACCAGCGTGGGTATCTGCTGGGGACCACCGAGACCAGATGGTGGGGGTGAGTCACGTCACCGGACGGCGCCGTGGTCTCCAGGACAGGCAACCTGAAGGGCAAACAGGAGCGGGCAATGTCAGACCCCAGCCCAGCCCCGGCTTTGCCCCCTCTCCCCGAGACACTGGCAAGGCGAGGCAGGGGGCGGGCGGCAGGCG